CAATATTTTTGCTCAGTTCAGGAAGAATGATCGTGACAAGCAGAAGCTAATAGAGACCGTAGTAAAGCAACTTCGAAGTTTAGTGAACGGTATGTCCCAGCACACATAGACCTGTTTGATCGATTGTATCCCATCCTGCCGAGATCGACTTCTTGGCCACCATTTCTACATAGCAGGCAGGGATGGTGACCAGGACTCTTGTTTGGTTGAATAAAAGAAAAATGCGATCTAGGTGGCTTATATACGGAAACAGCAGTAAATAATACTTTGTATGTATTTTTAATGAATTGAATACTATTTTATATATTGTAAACAAATGGTGGAAAATGGTACTGTAAAGTAAAAAGCAGGTCACTCACACTGTACATGAAACAGCTGAACTGTAAATACATTATTTAGAAGTGGGTAGTCCTTACATACAGATTTTTGCTCCAGTTAGAAATTACTGCGGAAAAGTTTTGCTATAATCCTTTAATTGCCGTTTTCCGAATAAATCCTAATTTAATATTTTTAAACGTTGAAATACTTGCATTTCAGATGTTGCCTGGTTGTTTGCTTTTTATTAATTGTATATTAGCCTTAAAAGCGATTGGGACATAATTTTCTATACCAAATTTTGTAGTCTGGAGGTATGAAAAAAATCTTCTGATTTTTTTGTACACTTGAAAACTACCTGAAAACCAGACTTGATCTGTATTCAGTGTTAGGGCGTATAGCTTTGTTCTTCAGAAGTGGTTTCATCTTGAGTTCATGAATGTAAATAACCATTTGAATTCTCTGCAATGTGCTTTGGTTTCTGTTCCTCAGGGGTAACCTTTATAACTGTACTTTTGTAGCTGATTCCCGGTCCCCTGTTTCCCCCCTCCAGATTAAAGTAAGGGATCAAAGATTTACGATATCTGATCTCATGCCAAGTCCCTGTGTGTCGATCTGTATGTTTATACAAATAGAGCCATGCCCATAATTAGAATTCCCCCCGACGACCAATATCTCTGCCCTGTAGCATCCTGGCTATTTTAAACCTAACGAGAATGTATAATAAATACAAACCAAACCATCTATGGAACATGTAAAAAGAATGTACATTTCACTGTATTTTTAAGTTATTGACGGTCTAAATACAGTAATATAAATCTTACCCTTATTTTTGAATTTTATGTATTAAAATGCATCTCAGACTTAAATTTCATGTCGGACTGTACAGCAGAGTTCATTTCCCCTGTTTTCTATCGTTCAATGATTTACTCTCCTTTTCCTTTGTAAGCTAAGACTGGAAAGGTTCCTGTGTACCCGCCTTCACCTCCGTGATGGAAATATTAAACATGTTCAGCAAACTCTCCATACAGTGTCGTTGTCCACATCCGTGTGTGTTTGTGTGTCCCAGGAAGCTTGGTGCCCGAGTATCCGACCCAGGACAGCTTCAGCAAAGCAGCAGCAAGAATTTCTGTTAGACCTTGGGATTTCACTTGATGTGAAACTGGAGCTGAAATTCCCAGTCGGGCTCAGCATGGCCTAGAGATCTCGCTCCCATCTGAGCAGCAGAGTGAGGGAAGTCCAGAGGCTCTCGTCCTGTTGGGTCAGTTCTCCTCCTACAGCTAGGCTTACGCTTCCTTGTTAGGTGTTTTCCAAGGAAGAATGGCGCAGTAATGACCAAAGGACGGGGCAGCACGAAGGGATTCGCTTTGGGAAGCGGAACGGTGCGCTGTCGCTTCGGCTTTGCCGTGAAGCCTCTCCAGCGTCTTCCTTCATTCCTTTCTGGTGTCCTCTCCAGGCCCGAGGGGCTGCCATGAAAGCGGTTTGAGCCCAGGTCCCCCTTGAGAAGCGAGCACGGGTCGGAGACTCCCTCGCTCTTCCTGCGCTCCCCACTTGGACTGAGGGGCTCTACAGACGGGCAGCTTTCCCCAGCAGATCCGCAAATGATTAACTCGGAAGGAACCTGCTCAGCCCTTATAAAAATCCATGTGAAGGGCGTGAGTGGAATATCACCCGGAAAATGCCCGCGAGGAAAGGGAGAGGCTCAGGGGACTTGCTTGCAGGCGGGGTGCGAAGAGCGGGGGGATTTTATACTTCGGGATCATTCAAATGTCTCACATTAAAGGGGAATACAGGCGTTTGAAACCAGAGTTAAACAGGCTGTGGGGAGTTGCTGACTCAGCTCGGGCTCTGCCGTGTTTGTCTGGGGGATGCGCATTGCTTTGAAAATAGCGGGTGTGAGTGCGAATTAAGAAATGTCCGGCTACCAGAATTGCCCCTTTAAACAGCCCCAGAACGAGTTTGTGTTGCGCCCTCCTGTAGCATGCGTTAGACACCGGCCCATGAGCTTTCGTAGCTCTTTCGGCCCCTTTGTAAATGCAAACCTGCCTGTAGGAGTTGCGGACCTAGACTGACCGGCGTCATTTTCCCGCAGAACTCCTTCTCGTATATAGTAAGGCTCTGCTAACCACCCATAGCCTCTTTACTCCTGGGTCACAGGGGCAATACATGGAGTGAGCTGGACTTGCTAGCTGTACCTCCAGCAAACAGGATTAATCAGGCCTGGAGCAAAGGAAAGCGGAGACAATTCTCCAGAGGGGCCTCTAGATTTCAGGGAAGGGAGCGCCACTGAACCTTGGCATCTAAACAAACAACAGGTGTCTCCTGTATGCCGCCGCGCCAAAGGATGCAACTGGAGCTGTGTTAGCAAGCGGAGATGGGGCGCAGGACTACTGCGAGAAAAGGCTGCATCCAGCTCCCAGAGGCCAGTGCCTTGGGAAGTACATGTGCTGTGCATACGTTGTGTAAAGCTGTTGTCCTGACCAAGGGAGGGAGAGTTTTCCGTTGGACTAGCAGGGTAAGACTAACTAGAACCCAGAGACATTTGCTCCCATTGACGCCAATAGGACAACTCCGGTTGACTTCGGCTGGGAGCAGGAGCCGACCCCGCATTGAGCCAACAAGGCTTTCCAGAGGAGACAGGTCCGGGAAAGCCCAAGCTTTCCCGCTGCGCAGCGATCTGCTTTGCGGTAATACCGCTCCTGAGGAGGACTCAGCGGAGAAACTGGCTCGGATTAGCCTGATCCCATACTTCTCACGCAGGCAAAACTCTCAATGACATCAGGGAGAGATCTTCCTATGTACGTAATATGGCACGAGAGTGTGTAATACCCGGCCCAACGTTAAAATGCCTGCAGCAGCTTTTAGTGCGGGAACGTGTTGGTTCGGATTTAGACAGTACCTGGCAAGGTGTTTTCTGCACAAGGCATTAGGCAAGCTTAGTGTTCCTTTCATGGCAGTGTAGCTGCACTGGAATGACTTGCTGAGCCGGGAGTCAGAGAGGAAGCTACAGGTAATGTCAGCCGCGAGACCGGAACCCAAAGGGCGGTCTACCTGCAGTCCACTGGGAACCCTTTCCCCGGCTTGTGCCAACATACACCGGGACCCGGCTCTCAGCCTTCCATTGGCAGAACGCCGTGTGTCTGCAGCTTCTTCCCCGCGTGTTCGTGCCCTGCTCGGGCTGAGCGGGAGCGGGGCTGGCAGGCGCCCCTTGGGGTGGGGAAACGAAGTGTGCAAGCCTCAAAGCAGCCGTTTGCTAGCGCTGCTTTCTAGTAAAACACCTTCCGCCTTGCACAAGGGGGTCCTGAATGAACTGCAAACGAGCAAGGGGCGGGTGTGGGGGACGGGGCTCAGGGAGAGCCCTGGAGAGAGGAAAGAAGAGCTGGAGAGCAGCGTTCCCTCTGAAACACTATTAAAATAACGGATCACTTCACGTCGAGCGGGCTGAGACCTTTGTCCCGTCTCCAGTAGCATCAGCATCAACGAATGACACGGATCCTGGGGGGTTCGGTGGAGTAAGTGGCAGACTCTGGGGGCCAGGGCCGGCTCTAGGCCCCCGCAAACCAAGCACGGGACGGCACTTTTCAAGGGGCGGCATTCCGGCCACCCTTGTTTTTTTTCACTTGGGCAGTTCCCCTCTCGGAGCTTGGAGCGGCAAAAAACCTAGAGCCGGCCCTGCCTGGGGGAAAGGCGAGGGGCTTACAGGCTGGGGCGCTGTGCCCCGCTGGACTCCGAGGGGCACAAGCAGGCTTGCGGTGGTGAGGATGAGAATGTGAGTGACCCTGTGGATTGGCTGTCACTGGTGACCTGGGTCCCAGCCCTCCAGCTGCAGGGATCTGTCACAGCAGCTCTCTCCCCTCTTCAGCTCCCCACCCTCTTTCAATCAATACCCTCACTTCTCACGGGCTCCAATCATTGCACTGTGTCACGCTCTTGAAGTACGCAGCAAAGACGTCATCTCTGAAGGTGGATCGGAGAGTAGGCACCCAATATCTATATAAAACTGGTAAAGGCCGAGAATAGTTAAAAAGGACAGAGACGGCGAGAGGAAGGGGGCAGAGGGACTGGGCTGCAGACTTTGCCGGCGGACCGTTCGCCTTTTGCAATCGCCACAAAAGTTATGGGAAGCCGTGAGTACCCAGCTTCTTTCTCTTTCGCCCCGCAGGGGCTTTGGCAGATGTCGCTTTGCTGGTGCCGCTCTGGCAGAGGCCCAGCTCTCCCTTTGGGGATGAAGGGAGAAAGTCAGCCGGACGCTGGCTGCTCCACGCTAGGGGAGTCGCCACCAACCACCTATTAAGCCGGGAAGTTTCTCCAGCGGAGCCCTGGGTTGCTGCTCTCAGCATCCCGAAGCTCTGGTTTCTAGCAAACCTGGGACCCGTGGGGGAGTGAAGTGAGGCGGACACGTTAGCGTAGAGGAGACTCCCTTGCTATATAGGGTCTCTGTTGGAGTAGCGGATCCGGCTTTGCTCGGAGAAAAGGAACTGTCAGCCCGCCAACTGTCGTGCGATGAAGTGCGGTTCGCTTGGAGGGCAGCGCCGGGCAGCAAATCTATCGCACCCCAGCGGCTGATCTTTTTTTTAACTCGGAATCACTCATCTCTGCCAAGGGGCCGGTGTCACCGGCCACTCACCCGCTCGAGGGCACGTAGCCCAGGCGGCAGCCGAGAGGGGCAGGGACGGAGCGTGGGCACCTTTCTGCAAACCCTGAACAGCTCCCAAGCCACGCGCGCTGTCGTGGGGCTTTTCCAGGCACTGTGAAATCGAGGGCTTGCCTGTCTTGTTCCTTCCCTCCCGACAGCCTAGTCCGCTGCTCTCCCAGCCCGCTGCAGAGGTGCTTTGCCGGGGGACAAGCGACGCAGGGCATCCGGCTGCGGCAGCCGCGGCCGGGAGCCGAAGATGTTGCTGGCGGGGATCAGCGCGTTGTCCTGGCTCGAAGCTGCGCTCACCGCCGTGCTGGCCCTGGGGCTCCTCCTCACCGTGGCCCGGCACTTGTGGACTCTCAGGTGGACTCTGAGCAGGGACCGGGGCAGCGCTCTGCCCCTCCCCAAAGGCTCCATGGGGTGGCCGTTCTTCGGGGAGACCCTGCACTGGCTGGTCCAGGTAAAGTATGAACGAGAGCACGTGTCCCCCTGCGGCGGGGGCTGCGGGCAGTCTCCGGGCTGCTAGGCCAGGTGACTGCTGGCGGCGGGCGGGAGGTGGCTCACCACCCCCTCCCTTCCGACCCGAAGCCCCTAGGATCAGGCTGCTCCTGGGACGCCCAGAACTAACTAAAACGTGAGGGAGGGATTTAAATGCGTTTCATTCCTGAGCCACGTGGGCCCCGGAGCTGGGCTCCCCCCGCCCTGCAGGCTTCGGGGCGGAGGTCGCCAGGCTCCGCGCAGCCAGCTCCCCTCCTGCTCCCGAGGAGCCGCGGACCTGTATGGGGCGAGGGGGCTCCGCCGCCAGCAACGCTGAGCGCGGCCGGGTCTGTCCCCGGGGTGGGGCTGGCGGGCTCCGAGCCTTGCCCGGCGCCCCTCGGACCCGCGCCAGCTGGCGCGCGGCCCCGGTGGTGGCTCTCCGCTTGACTTGCCGGCTGGTTGCAGGGCTCCAGCTTCCACAGCTCCCGCCGGGAGAAGTACGGCCACGTGTTCAAGACCCACCTGCTGGGCAAGCCTGTCGTCCGAGTGACCGGGGCGGAGAACGTCCGCAAGATCCTGCTGGGGGAGCACAGCCTGGTCAGCACCCAGTGGCCCCAGAGCACCCAGATCATCCTGGGCTCCAACACCCTGCTCAACTCCACCGGCGAGCTGCACCGGCAGAGGAGGAAGGTGCGCTCCGCAGCGACGCTGCGCTCGGGAGCGGGGGAGGCGGCCAGGGCAAGGACCGGCACAGCGCTGCTCACACGCGCGTGCCCGGGGGATTTTGACCTGGGAGGGTGGCGTTTGGAGCCGTGTGTAAAACTCCTCTGTAGTTGCGGGGGGGGGGGGGGCAGGCAGCGAGGGGCTGTGTGAGCGGGGCGGAGGCCTAGGGTCCAGGGAAGGCGGTTGTAATTCACCCCTCTGCAGCCTGCGAAGCCCACGTTGCCTCGTGGCCAGGCTCTTGTCACTGAGCCGGCAGCTCGGTCCAGCAGGAAGCCAACTGGCGGCGGCTGCCAAGTGGGTAGCCCCAGTTCCCCTGGCTGTGCAGCTGCAGGTCGGAGAAAGTGCCAGCAGCACCACCAGCCTTAACTCTCTTCCCTCCCCTCTCCCTAGATCCTGGCTCGAGTCTTCAGCCGCGCTGCCCTGGAGAGCTACCTCCCTGGGATCCAGAAGGTCGTGAGCTGGGAGCTGCGGGGCTGGTGCAGGGAGCCTGGCTCCATCGCGGTTTATTCCTCCGCTAAAACTTTGACTTTCCGCGTTGCAGCTCGGGTTCTGCTGGGCCTCAGCCTGGAAGAAAAGCAGTTTAAGGACCTGGCCAAAACTTTTGAGCAGCTGGTGGAGAACCTGTTCTCCTTGCCCCTGAATATACCGTTCAGTGGGCTGCGCAAGGTACTGTTGCCGGGTTACATGCCCGACTCGCTCCGCTTTGCTTTCCTCTGCTGTGTCTTTTTGCAGCCTACCGAATATAGGCTGCATTGCTTTAAAAAAAAAAAAAAAAGTCCAGCGCCAAAGTAGCCAGCAAAGCCAAGGTTGGTCTCCAGGAAGTTAAAGAGAACTGTAAATAACACAGAGCCAGGAAAGCCCACCACGCACTCTTACCCTGCCCCATAAGGGTCCATGCATGAGTTCTAGCTTTCGTAATGAAAGGTGGATCGCTATTGCCATTTTAAAGTACAGTGAATCGCCTTCTCCCCGTCCTCCCGTCCCCTCAGGAATTCCCTCTTTGGATATCTTACCCCTGACATGTCCCTGAGTGGGTAACGAGTCACGTTTAAACAGGTTTCATTGCTGTATTAGTTGCAGTGATCAGTTAGATTTTGCCCCATTTCTTTTGCACTGGTTTCTTATAGTGTCTTGTTTGTTCTCTTATTACAGACTATTCTCTAATTACTCCTCCTCCTAGCCATTTCTTTTTGTTTGTTTGTTTTTCTGTATATTTACTTCCAGCACCTCTCTGAGTTGTTGGCTTCAGTTTATTCTTATATAATGTTTGATTGCTAAGCATGTTACATCTAGAGTTTTCCCTGGAGTAAATTTCAGTTCTGTGATGCAATATTCTCAGCAGGATAGTGATCTGTCCAATTCCTTTCCACAAATTATTGGCTTTGCTATTATCAAGGTACATCGGGAGCACACAAGTTCTCCGCACCTGTGTGCTGCTTCAGAGAATGCCACTTCCTTTGGCGGAGATAGTCCTTGCTGACATCTATTTATTACCTGAATAGTGTATAGTCTGTTGACTTGTTTGTGCTGTAGTTCTGTGGGTTATGAGGTGGGAGAGGGCTAGAAAGGACAGAAGGGACCATTGTGACCTTCTACTCTGACCTCTTGTATAGCACAGGACATAAAACTTCCCCCCAAATAATACCCTGAGCAGATCTTTTAGAAAAACATCCTATCTTGATTTAAAAGTGTTCAGTGACAGAAAATCCACCAGAACCCTTGGTAAATTGTTTCAAGGGCTAATCACTCTCACCATTAAAAATATAGGCCTTATTTCCCGTGTGAATGTGTCTAGCTTCAGCTTCCATTGGATTGTGTTATATACCTTTCTCTGAAGAGCCCATTATTAAATATTTGTTCCCCATGTAGGAGCTTACAAGCAGTAATCAGTTCACCCCTTCACCTTCTCTTTGTTAAGCTAAATAGATAGAGTTTCTTGAGCCTATCACTATAGGGAGCTTCATCTGTAGATTTGATTACATTGGATGATTTCTTGGGTGTGTAATTTCCTAGGAGTTTGAAAACAAATGGAAAAAACAGAACTTCTGTCATGTGGCATCATATTGACATTCACATGGGTCATCAACAGGGTGGGAACCTTTAGATCTACCCAACAGACCTCTGCCACGTGAGCTAACAGCATAACTGATCATTCTCTAGGTAGACTAGCACTAGAGGAGCAGGAGACACTCACTTTGCCAGTGGGTTTCAGAGATATTTGCTGACAGCAAAGGAATGGTGAGATTCAGGAATCTTGGGTTCAATTTTAGGTACCGGAGGGGAGTGTGTCTAGTGGGCACAGATACCTCTGCCTCTTCCCTCCTCCCTCACCCCACAAGCTTTATCCTTTCTACCCTGTCCTCTTCTACTCCCAATATCCCTCTCCATTCCCAACCTCCTTGCCCAGCCAGGCCCAGTTCACCCAGGCCCTGTGGCTCCTTATCCCCAGTGTACTTGCCCAACGCCCAGCCAGTCCCCATTCCCCTGCCTCCTGGTCCAGTCTTCTCTCCCTCCCCAGGCTCTTTGTCCCAGTCTGTTTGTTCAGCCAATCCCAGTTTTCCCCGAGCACACTGATTCCTTCTCTGTCTTTCCTTTCCTCATGTCCTTCCCCACATTCCATTGGTTCCCATTTTCCTTGTCCAGCTAGTCACAGTCTCCTCTGAGGTCACATTAGATCTAATGGTTCCTTCTAGCCTTAAAACCTATGAACCATCCACCGCGCATCCCATCCAGCTCCTAGTCCATCTTACCCCACCCAGCTGCGAGTCCTAGTCTCTTTGTCCAATTAGTCCCAGTCTCCCACATCTCAACACCTAGTCCCAGTTTATCCTCTCCTCTCTTCCCTTGGGGACAGCCTTCAGTCTCAGTCCTGTGTTTTCTCTTCAAAGCCTCCTTCTAATCTACTCCCCATCTGGTTTTTGTCCCCTCTGCGTTCAAATCAGGCTGCTTCCCCTTTTATGCTATCTTGATGCCTGCAGGGGGGACAGGGCATGAAGAGCATAGGAAAGATAGTTCTTGTGCTTTCAGTTCCAGTGCCTGACTCTGGCATGGCCTGCAGCAGCCCAGAGTTACAATTTCAGTTGAAGTCATCTCAGCTCCCTGCAACCCCAAGCTGGAGCATGCCCAGAGCAGATGGAATTTCCAGAGTTTTTAACTGTCAAGATCTAGCAAGAGTCAAAGGCTTATAACTTGTCCAAATGTGGGTGAATTTTCACAGGGATGGCTCATCCCTGACATAAAGGGCACGCCCTGACAAATTTCTCATCCCTGCACCAAATCCCTGTGGGAGCTAGAGACTCTTCAAGATTGCCATAATCTTTTAACATGGGTAAAACAACATATTTTTCACTAGTGTCATTCATGGAAAAGACTGAACCATTTGGGCCAAAAATTGCTAAAATACTTCAGCCTGATGCAGACACCTGACATGGAAAAAATTTCATCCCAGCGGTTTAAGTTTGGCAAAGCTATATGCATATAAACAGAGTCTTGTAATGGGAAGAGTAGAGCAACCTTGGCTATAATACTTTGGTCTAATTTTGGTTGTTCTGTTTACTGTGCAGGTGCTGGGTGGTGTTGTTGGCCTGTGACCATATTATTATGGAGTCATAGTGTTTAATGCCAGAAGGGACCATCAGCTCATCTAGTCTGACCTCCTGTATATGACTCTATTATAATATAATCCTAGCAAATCTGTGCATGGATTTCTTTCAGGTTAGATTATCCTGCCTCTGGGCTTCTGCAGTAGGGTGATCTCTAGTAGGATGAGGCCCACACCCGAGACAGGCTTCTTGTTACAGAACCACACACCTTGCATTCCGAATGCACTTCCATTTCACATAGTGACAGCTTCAGAGCTGACTCCTCCATATCCTATTAGATGTTTGGTTGCATGGAGGGTTACTTTAATGGAAATGCAGCCTTCTGACAGGTACATTTACACACAACCAATTGGGTGTGATTATCACATATTTAGCTAGTATACTTATCTGGAATAGCGAACCCCTTTGTCACTGCCTTTGAAAAGCCCCTGAAAGTTTCTGGAGGCCAACATTAGACAGGGGTAGGCTTGTCAAGTCATCCTCTCTTATCCAGGTACCAGAGAGCCTCTTTTGGACATAGCAGAAGCTGAGTTTGTTCATGGGAGTCATCAACAGGTCACTGTGGCATCAGCCCTCTAGCTTCACTGCTTCCCTTTCCCCCCCACCCCCTCCACCCAAGTGTTCCTTGGGCAGTACTACCCTTTACAGGGTGTGTTGGAATAGCACAGGGAGAAATTACCCAATTCCCAACAGTCTATCCGCCCAGTGCCAAGTAGTTCCAATAAAGACAAACCCAGACCTGAAGAAAAGCTCTGTGTGGCTCTGAAGCTCGACTCTCTCACCAACAAAAATTGGTCCAATAAAAGATATTACCTCACCCACCTTGTGTCTCTAGCATAGACAAATGAATTTGTCCTTCCTAGTCTTTTAATTGCGAGGTGTCAGATTGAAGCACCACTCAGAGCACAAAAGGAGAGTGGATTTGAGCTATTGGTATTAGAATAAGAGGGATAGGATTCTTGGGGTCCTTGAGTGCTATTCATCCTGGGTAGGGTCTTTTTCTGGGTTTTTTCTTACAGTGCTTCACTATGGATGGGTTGGACAGTCTCTGAACAACCATGTCTGACTCTTCGCAGGGGATCAAAGCCCGGAATATGTTACATGAGTACATGGAGAAAGCCATAATGGAAAAACTACAAAGAAAGAACTCGGAATGGTGATGCTCTGGATTTCTTAATAAACAGTGCCAAGGAGCATGGCAAAGAACTCCCCCCACAGGAGCTAGGGGGAAAGAGTCCCCTTTTGTTTTTTTTTTACCCTTTTTTTAGCGGTGTTTGTTGGGGGGCCCTTCTCTCGCCCCCCCCCCCCCTTTTTTCTCCCCCCTCGGGGAAACACACACAACAAAAAAAAAAACAGTGGGCTCCCCCCTTCCCCCCCCCTGCCCCCCCCCCCCCCAAACCTCCCCTCCCCCCCCAAAAGGAAAAAAAAGAAAAAAAAAAACAAAACCAAACAAAAAAAAAAGGAAGAAGGAATAGAGAACCCACACCCAACACACAAAATAAATAGAGAAGAGAAGGAGAGGGTGGTTCCCCCCCCCCTCCCCCCCCCCCCCCCCCCCCCAGGGGGGGGGGGGGAGGGGGGGGGGGGGGCCGCATCCTTTTCATGGTTTGCTTGCAATACCTGCCCTCCCCTCTGGCGGACTGCTTCCCAAAAACAGGCATGTTTGGCATGCCAATTTCCAGGGGCAGTAAGCAAATGCCTAGAAATATATTGACAGAATGTGGATCTGCTCATTCCAAGTCACCTTCTTTTCCAAGCATATGTGAAGCCAGTTTCAGGGTATAAGATACTATTAACTTGTATGCTGCTTAGCTTCCTCCTGGATGAAACATGTATGCTGCTTAGCTTCCTCCGGGATGAAATCGTGGCTCAGTTGACTCCAAACTCCTATGAACTCCCGCGGGGTCAGGATTTCACCCCGGATCTTTATCTCCTAGGAGCAGGTGACCTGTTTTCCTAAAGGTTCTGAATCTTTGCTTCTGAAAATCTGGAATTGTGTGGACAGAATTGCATTGTCTCCACATGGAAACTCATCACTGTTTGTTGGCATCCCTCCTAATAGCGGTAAAAGTCCTTATGCATTTCCTGAGATTCTTAGGCGTTTAGTGTAGGCAGCAAAATGGACAGCGACAGAACACCCAGCGCCATCAGTTTAGCTTATGCTACAAAACAACAACATCATAGCACATTAAGTCACAGAGACCTTACACCACAGGCCCATTCCAACAATCCTGCGTTGGCAGGAGAAGGAACCATTGGGGGGTCTTTTCCTCTCCAATCTTCCCCATTCCTGGCATCTTCTCACTTGAGCGCGTCACAAAAAGAGCACCATTTGGCTCTGAGCCCGGGGGCAGGATTCTTTGTGGGGAGGCAGCGTGGCCGAGTAGATAAACCACTGGACTGGTATCCAGGAGATGTGGGTTCTGTCACTTCCCATTCACCTCTCTGTGGTTCACTTTCCCGGTATTTAAAATGGGACAATGCTCTCCTGATGAAGAGGTTTGGTTGGTTTATTTGTTTGTTGTTCAAAGCCTATCCTATGTGGAACTCCATGAAGGGGAATCCAATCTGCAAATAGGGAACTATAAACTACTTTTCTCCTGAGTAAAAGAGGGTGTTTGCCACGGGTTGTGTAGCACAGCAGTAGTACACTGTATAACTAGTTTACAAGGAGAATAATCTATTTTAGCGATTAATTAACATGACCAAATAAATTCGACGATGTTTAAGAAAAGCTAAACTATTGGACAAAAAGAATGCGCTAATTTGTAAATAATGCTCAACAATATTCTCCAGGAGCAGCTAGCTGTGATTAGAAGAGGTATATGTGACATTAGTCAAAAGAGGTGAATATAACTATATTTGTGAAATTAAACACGGGTATCTGTAATGTAATATTTGCCAGATTATACCCAGGCATCCCTAATGCATATTATTCAAAAAATAATTATATGAGCAATTGGAGAGCCCCCACGGATAAAGCCAAAGCTAAGAGGCTGGTGTGGCTCATCCCAGTCGAAATAACAGTGATGGGCAGGGAGTCAGCGTGGGTTAGTATATTGATATGCACTTCTGTTGGCGGTGCAGTTAGAAACTTCCTACATCAGATGCATTTAAAGAAACGTTCCTGTGGATTATAAAATAATCTGTGGTTACTGTCTAATGTGGCAGCGCCTTTTACCAAAATAAAATGACGGCGGAATATGAATCTAGTGGAATGATCTGACTAGGTAAAAAATCTTAGGTGCTTTACAGCACTGGATACGCATCTCTGAGAGTGTACACTAATTTCCTGACTCGCTTTGTGTTTAAATACTTTTCAAAGAGCACTTGCCACCCCCGCGAGATGCTGGGAATTGTACTCGGGGAATGAATGCAGCATGTGCTTTACAAAACCAGGACTTGCAACAACCCAGGTTAAAAAGCCCACCGTTTTATCGAAACCACCAGAAAAAGCCGAAAGCCACGGAAAGGGGAAAGAGCACATCCTTTATCATAGCAGCGTAGGGTATAGCACGGTGGCAGGGATTGGGCCTTTTGCTTTCTGAGAATGCACTAAAATAGATAAAACTATAAACCATTGCATTAAAGTCACAACAAAGGTGAGATTAAAGTTTGCAGGAAAACAGGATACTCCTGAGGCTGTTTCCATAATGAACCAGACTGAATAAGAGGCGAGGTGAGGTCTACAAAACGCCCAATTGGGTTGGCTCTAAAAGAATAAATAAAATACTTTGTCGATGAATAAAATATCTTAGCGCCAGGACGTTCTTTCCAGCCGCATTCATTCGCGGGGAACTGCTTTATTTTCATCCTTTGTGCGGTGACACAATGTTCAGTTCAATATGAGCATTGTAGAGACTAACACAGAGGGGAACTCAGCATCCCCCCGATGCAGCAGTGACTGCGCGGAGCTTCCCCTGTGGAACTTCGCAGTGGGCGAACCCGGACACGGCGGTCACGAGCACAAACGCCGGAGTACTGCGAAGGTTCTGTTATCGGGGATGCCCAGTTCCTGCTCATGTCTACGGGAGCCATGTGGACACAGGGGGGGGGGGGGGGGAGCAGCCCCCGTTCTGTTACATGCTATACATCCTGGAGAGCCAGCACACCGACAAATCCTCCTGTTTTGCCATAGACTTCAATGGGGCCAGGATTTCACAGCTGTGTTTTGGATTCACCCCTTCCCTTCTTATAGGCTTTCACCTGGAGAGGGGGCTGTTGGTCCTGGAGACATTCCCACCTTTAGGTCACCACCTACAGCCCTCTTTTTGCCTCCAGATCATCACCGGCAGTCTCTGGCAATCCCAAGTTCCTGATACACGATCTGCAGGTGTGTTGTAACTGCAAAGCTTGTCTCTCTCCTGGGCAGAAGTTGGTCCAATAAAAGATATTACCTCACCCAACTCGTCTCTCTTCCCTTTATCTTAGCAGCTATTAGGGAGGCTTAACTGGGTATATACTCTGTGCATAACTGTGTGTATTCTACACAACATCTGGGAGGTGTGATGCTCAGCCTTGTGAATACACAGCAACAGCAGTCCCTTGAGTGTGCATTAGAGAGCCAGAACTAGGACAGACATAGTTACAGAAAGGCAAAATAGTTATTGTCAAATATTTCGGTCATAGTTTTGAATGCTGGCTTCATAGTCATAGTTCACATCCTAAACCTGCACTTTTTCCTTTGATTTCTGTATGGGTGGGAAAGAGAAAGGGGAGCTAAGAAACTTCCAGTATTTAACCTTCCATGACTTAGCTAGGGCCTGGCTGGTTTGCTGTAATATTTTAAGGGAGGTCCTTAGAAGGCTCTGATTGTACGGTTGTGAGGATCCATGGCTGATGGATGTTTTGCCTGTGTTGTGGGCGCAGATACTCCGCTTTGATTGTCTGGGATCATTCTGTGGCTTGGCTTTGTGCAGAGTTACCCGAGCCACACTGTGACAAACTTGTCTGTAAAGCATCGTATGGACAATTGGGTCAGTTGTTTTCCTTTGCAACACACCTCAGTTTTTGCTTCTAGGACGCAATTGGATCCTTTGGCTTGTTTTTCACACAACACTAAATAGCATAGGAAGGAGGCATGCGGGGGACAGTGTCTGGAGTTCTTCCGTGGTTGTCCCATTACTTGTTATACAGGGCTTGGTTCTGCCAGATGCTGAACACTGTGAGGCAATCCAGCAAAGCCCTTAACTTGACACACATGGGTAGGAGAATTCCCTTAACGTTTAGCTCAGCACCTTGCAAAATCCAGCCCAGACGATTTAGTTCAAGTGGCGGCACATCTATGCACAGTGTGGCTGTATGGGAGAAAGGTTGATACCCTCAGGGAATTTTGAACCATCGAAGATCATTGACAGGATTTTAGATGTTCCACTATTGTCATCGAGCAATAAGAAAGTTTGTTAATCTACAGACTCTGACATGCCCTTGCCTTTGGGGCAAGCGAAGAATCCAGGATTTGCCAAACATCTGCGTCTAGGTAACTCTCTATTTGCTACAGATCTGCAGAGGTTCACATACATACATTATGATGACACAGCAAGTTTCTTATTAGTTTTACTCACTGTTGGCCTGAGTCCAGTTCTATTCATGTACATGGTGTCTTCACATTGACTTCAGGGGGCATTTGAACAAACATTACCCGTTTTAGATGGTAGCATCGGAACCTAGGACTCCCGGACCAATATCCACCACTACCAATGTAGAAGACATGCCATTCGGGAGATTATTTTTCTAAGAAAGTGGAAGAATCTGTACATATCAAATGTAGTGTCTGACAGACGGAGACCCCGGTGTGCATCTGAGGACAAATCTCTACGGCTAAGTGTGAGGATAACCTTTGCTCACAAAATTCTCAGCCAGGTTCTTACTCCTCTTCTTTCTCTTTTTACTGATAATGATTGCAGGTTCGTAGGGAGTAGTGGAATAAACAATCCATTACATAAGTGGTAGAAGTGCAGTATAATGCTCAGTTAGCAAAGGAACGCAAGTCCTGTAAAGTTAAAGAGATTTTAGTTTCTAAACACTCAAATGATGGAAATGAAGACAGGCCACGTGGGGCTAGACAGCTGTGCTGATAGGGAACAGGTGGGAGTATGATTTGAAGACTAAAACACACATGCATTTAAAACTGTCACGTTTGATTATCTCGCAGGAGTCAGCGATTGAACTGATATTTGCTGCTTTCTTCACCACTGCTAGTGCCAGCACGTCTCTGATCCTTTTGCTACTGAAACACCCCTCGGCGATAGAAAAAATAAGACAGGAACTGGTGTCCCATGAATTGCATAGGCAGGGCCATTGCCTTTCGCCTGCGGTCTCCCAAAAGAACCGCCCATGTATTGAATCCCGTCAAGGTACACCGATGGTCCTGGAGAGAGAAAGGAAGGACAGTGACTCTCAGCAGCGTCTCCGCTCCACGCCAGAAGGGACGCCGAAGAATCAAAGTCAGCAACCTGATCTAAAGGCGGGAGGAGAGGCCGGGGGTGGTTTTATCCGGCGGCCTCCTCTCCTTAAGGAGCCCACGTTAACCAGAATGACACCAGAAGCAATTAGTTTGAATACAAAAGATCATTATTCAAACCCCAGGCAAGAAGAAGCCGGTCAGCCGGCCAGCAGGTTCGAGGTGCCCACAGGGCCAGTGATTCCAGGGGCAGAGTGTCATTGTCAGCCTGAGATGAACTTGGATAAGTTGAGCCGTCTGCGCTACTTGGACGGTGTGATTAAGGAGGTCCTTCGTGTGCTGCCGCCCGTTTCTGGAGGCTACAGAACTGCCCTGCAGACCTTTGAGCTGGATGTAAGTTATCTCTGTTCTGCAGTTGTTTAAAGACTAGGGTGTGGCTTTGAGCCAAGCAGCTTTAGTTCATTTATTATGTGTATCTGCGTGTCTTATCAGACAGTTTTACACCATTTTCTCCTTCCTCTCTAGTGACCTCTGGGTATTTCAAAGGGCTGATTTCCTAATAATGGCAGCTGTGCGACTATTAACACTTGTCTGTAGAACGAGTTTATCTTTAGTGTGAAACACTTGTTAAGATGTAAGATATGACATTTTGCCAACTGCAGGTACACCTGAGTGAATGCAAAATAAATTTACACCGAATCTGTTTTTTTTGCATTTTAACATTATAGAAAGCAGCACAGAATACAGGGGAATGTTGCACGCAGCTAACTGGCCACTTAAAACGGAAAATGGAAAACATAAAAGCATCTAGAGATCAAATCCTTGGTTATTTATTTGCAAAGTAATTTATTTATATAGGGCCCCAAGATGTATTGGGCTTCCCTGAAAATCAAATGATACTGAGTTTACTAAATCAGCAACTACCGAAATGTGACAATATCACAGCGTGAATACAAGAAATGACAACGCAACAGAGCAGTATAGAACCGCACAATCGCACGGCAGGCCCAGTTCTACAAGTAATAGGACAGCAAGTCTTGCTCAGGCACCGTAGCCCCGGTGAGCGCAACAGGAGTGGGACCGCTTGTCTGAGTAAGAGCTGAAGGAACAGGCCCTGGATCCAGCTGGCGTCATCACACGAGCCCTGTTTGTGTCCTCGGGACCACGGGCCCGAGCGAGGCGAGCAGGATTCTGGTCTCCCAGTGCCCTTCCCGCTCCAGCAGGGTTTTGCACGGAGGAAGAGCAGTAAGTTAGTTCCATTAACCCCGGTGTCCTGCAGGGGCGTTTATCCGAAGCTGCCGCATTAGAAAGGGTGGTTAGTTTAGCATCCAGGGCCCCCAGAGGGAGGCGCCCCGGCCCCGGCCGAGTTAAACATCCCACCCAACACCCCAGCATCTCCGTCCTTCGTGGAGAAAGCCAGAGCCGGTTTCTAGCGGAGGTCCGTGGGAACTGGGTCCGGGGCTCTGTGCAGGGCGGCGTGTCGCCCTCTGGCGGCCGAAGGGAACGGATCGCTGGGGGTGGGGAGGCAGGGATCGGGCAGGTTTCTCAGTGAGACGGGTCCCAGGGTCCCAATCCTTAGCAGCAGCAGCACAGCCTCTGGGACAAAAAATGGGGATTGGCCCTGCTCTGAGCAGGGGGTTGGGCTAGATGACCTGCTGGGGTCCCTTCCAGCCCTGGTATTCTGTGATTCTATGATTCTCCCTCGAGCAGCTCAGCAAGGCCAGGGGCCCCCAGCGCCGGTGCCAGCTGCCCCTTAGCTGATGGTCCTCTCCCGCCTCCCCTGCAGGGCTACCAGATCCCCAAGGGCTGGAGCGTGATGTACAGCATCCGAGACACCCACGAGACCGCGGCCGTGTACCAGAGCCCCCCCGAGAGCTTCGACCCGGACCGGTTTGGCTCGGCCCGGCAGGAGGACGACAAGGGGGCAGGACGCTTCCATTACATCCCCTTTGGTGGTGGGGTCAGGAGCTGCATCGGCCAGGAGCTGGCCAAGGCCATCCTCAAGCTGCTGGCCGTCGAGCTGGTCCGCACGGCCCGCTGGGAGCTGGCCACCCCCAGCTTCCCCGAGATGCAGACTGTGCCCATTGTGCATCCCGTGGACGGGCTGCAGCTCTTCTTCCACCCCCTGCAGCCCGGCGGCGCCAGCACCCGCCGCCAGGGGTCCCGGGAAGCTTGAGCCGTCGCCCAGGCCTCTGGCGCTGGGGCGGGCTGCGGGCAGGGCGAAGAGGGGAAGCCGCCGCAGAGGGGGACAAGCACCAGGATTTGTACCGACCGGACACAGAGAGCGCCACATGAGCCCCTGGGCCCGTTTCCTTTTCGCAGCGGGGCTGAGATCCAGCTGCTGAGAGGGGGCCCAGACCACCCATCCCCTCCTTCTCGGTGCCCTGCTGCTGCCCACCACGGCAACAGGAGAGGGGCTCCGGATGCAGCAGCAACTCCGGTGAGATCTCCCTTTCGTCACACTAGAAAGGCTTGGTTTGTGCCATCCTCACTGCACCCCCCGGTGGGGAAAATCAGGGCCCAGCTGCACTCTGAGGAGTCAAAACCACAGGGAAAGAGTCCACGATCCAAGTATGCAGTTTCCTTAAACTTCAAAGGTGTTGGCTGGGGGAGAGAAACCAACTGTTCTAGATTTTAAAACAGAATCCCCCGGGACATAGATTCGTCTGCTACCTCTCACCTGACTCTTGAAAGTTTAGGGGAACGCCCTATCCACTGAACATCCTTCCAAGCCACGCTGTTGTCCTGGTCAGCCCTCCTGCCCCCTTCCTTCTGACTGGATAGAGACAAATGCAGAAGGGAGAGAGAAATAACTGTCTCTAGCACATTTTTATTACAGAGCATGGCTAGAGATGGCCTGGAATTTCCTGTTCCACATGCAGAAGAATTATACCCAATGGGATACATGTATTTGTAAGTGGGGAGTGGGGTTCTTCACGTTGGGCCATAGCCTTTTAGAAATTTCCAGGGATATTTAAAAAGAGAAAAATCTAAGGAATCGCTGCAATCTGACAGGTCCAAACTTGTCAGATACATCCCAATTATCTGTAACTTTCTGATAACTCTCTAACTTCCGATAGATTGATGTAAAGAGTTTGTATTTCATCTCACTCCTGCACTTTCCATTAGAGTCTATATGATAAACGCATTGTGGTTCATCAGATGGTACCGTATATTAATATTGTACATTAACACTGTATTATAGTAAGGACTGTGCTGCTGTTATTAAGGATCCATCACTAAATCCCATGGTCAAAGTAAATGTGCCTTAGACTAAAGTTTAGTTGCAGGTTGAAACCTGTATGAGAGAATCAGATTTCAACAGGGAAGTGATCTTTTTAAAATAAACATTTAAAGAGTCCGGACATTTAACTGTTTGATTCTGACTGAAAAGTTCCTGATTTTAAAGATGGAAAACCATTTCTTGCGCATACACTCTGGTACCTCTTCCAGAATAATGATTTCAATATTTATAGTGAGAGTCACATTATAATAACTATCAGAGCAGCATTAAGCAACAAGACCATTTGTCATGCAGCATATGGTGTACAATGGCTTAAAAATGGATTCAGGTGGAGTTAAGGTTGGGGGGCTGACTGGCCAATTAGAGGGTCTCTGAATACTGTCTGCCTTGCCATTTCCTACTCTTCAATTCCGGGATTTTTCTTTTTCCGCTTGTAAAAGAATTTCTCACAAATGTTTTATAATGTGATGCCTACCTTTCATGTCCATGAATGGAAATGGCAGTTCCATTGGAGCATGGAGAGGAGAGTTCAGGATAATACTAAGTATGATTTGTATAGATGAGTGAATACATTATTTCATTTTCACTGAGGGCATGATGGCAGCGCTCTGTCAATGGACAGCCTTTGCTGGGCTTTGACTCAGGCACATAGTACATACTGTCTGTCTAAAAGGTGAAGGGAAGCAAGGAAATGGAAACATCTGATAATTAATTTTCATACATTTTAATGGAAAATATGGATACTCCTTCTCTAGGTCAAGCTCTTGTGTAATATTAAAATGTATCCGATATCTGAGAGGTCTAACAGAACACCTACATCCCCAAACCTGTTATCCGTAGGATGAAGTTGCCCTTTGTGAAGGCTGACACACTGGTTCCTAGGATACTTTCTCCAATGACACTTCTGCCGTAAACAAACTTTCTTTTCCTTCTGCAATCTCCCAAAATGAGAAAAGTCAAAATATTTGAGCCCCCCTTGCTTTAAATGGTGACCCACTGCCTGAAAGCAACCGGCATGATTTATTATTCTGTAAGCCAGAGTTTTAGCAGCCACCGCCCAGATAATTTACCTGGATCAGTATTTCTAATTAAACATCAGAAAGTCGGGTAACATAATTTCACTCCATACAACATCTCAGCTACCTAGAGCAGAAACATGGCTACCAAATGTGACAGGTCAAATCTGGAAAAGGTTGTACTGAAAGTCGGAGTTAAGTGCTGTTGGCAGGTTGACCCTTTAGTGAACCAGAAGCCTCTGCCCTCCTGACCTTGTCTTTAAGGTGAATCTTTGTGGTGAACGGAGGGGAAATCAGTAGGCGGTGGATACAAGTGTCAATGACTAACTTTAATTAGCACAACTACTGAACTGATCCATCCAAACGCTACTGACGCTATTGTGATTCTCGAAAAAAAAGTAGGCGAACCGTGGATCCACCTCCAGTTCCGTTTTATTTCGGCGGGGACCTGGCCGCTCACCTAGGCACTAATCGGCTGGGGAGCCGACTGGCAAATGCAGCTCTGTAGCCTCCTCCTCCAGCTTGGATGAGAAGTAATCGTCGATGCTTCAGGACCAAGCTAAATAATTACCCCGAGCACTCACACTGTAACCGCGTTGTTGAATAACGTAATGTGAATCTAGTAAAAAAAGACTTGAAACTGATGTTGTTTTTCAAATAAACATGAGCATTTGCAAGTGAAGTGTAGCAATTATTACTTGTAATCAAAGTTTGTTCCTATGAGGCTGTTAATTTCTTGTCCCCCTTCCAAGATGTCTTTAATTATCCCTTTCACTCTTTACCATTCGATTCTTTTCGGACTGACGACTGTAGAATAGATGGCTGTGGCGATAATAAAGGTTTCCTGTGGTAATTATCGGTGCTCAGGCCACCGTATCTCGTTATTTGATGGACAGTGAACTTGGCGAAGTTGCTCGCAGAGTTCATTCAGATGTCACGGTCCGTGTTGTAGGTCACAAGCAGGTCAGAGTATGGGAATGGGAAAGAACCCCGAGGTCATGCCACTGCTCCCAGGGCAATTCACTGAGGATACGGAGACACCAGAAAATGATCATCCCTATTAGGCAGAGAACTGTCCTGCCAGCTTTGGAGGGCTCAGAAGCCTCCAACTTAACCAACCACTGGTTGGTTTATATAGGTCAGAGGAAGGGTGGGGGGGAATCGGAAGAAAGTGAGCATTTTAAACACAAAATAGGGAAATTAAATTTAGGCTGAAATCATATAATGTACAAATATATATCACATCTGGGCACAGCAAACAACCCGCATACACATATTTATATGATATGCAGGCATGTGTATAATATTCACCCTATGCTTCAACCCTTTACCGATAAATGATTTTTAAGCATACATATGTAGGAACTAGGAATTCACCTACGTTTCAATTAAACTCTAAACTTTAAAAGCCCTTCGCCCTCCCGGGCTGACGCTGCACCATTTAGAAATTACCTATGCTTAAAAACTCAAATTTAAGTGTTGTGTCCCAGAACTAGAAACCAGTCAAAAGAATGTGCTCGCAGCACAGAAATATTGTCGTTCAACAACTACATTGCCAGGCACTGTCAAAGCAACCAGGCTACTAAATGCGAAGCAGAAATACCCCCGAGCCATGCCTTCCAGCAAACATAAAAGGGGATACATTAGAGATTAGGGGATAACATTTAGATTCTGTTAAAAAGAATCGCTCTCGAATGTTTCTTGTGGTTGGGCAGGGAAGCAGAAAGTGAAATTGACTAGACAAAAATGAAACTGAAGCGTTTACTTGTACCGTCCAAGTTGAGTGAAACAGGGTAAATAAATATATAAACAACAGTGACGGCTCTTTTGATGTTGAAACTTCTTTCTCTTTTAATATACTACAGTGCTATTGATATTAGATGCAAGGACATTTTCTAGATACAAAAGTTACTTTGAACCTCGGGGTGCCCCTTTAAACATTTCCCAGCGTAGTCACTCATTTACAAAAGAAATTGTGAGGGTCATTTCAGCCAAGTAGTGAGCAACAAACACGGGGGCGGGGGGGGGGAAGTGCTGTAATTTGAAGGTTATCGAGGATCTTGTTCGTATTCGTTTGCCGTATTTCTACGAAACGGTGCCTAAGCTAGATACAAATGTAACACTTTATGATAAGTGCTTGTCATACTTCTACTACTTACTGCGGCATTTATTGTTATAACGGTAACCGCGAGTCAGTGATTTCTGGACAGGTGTTATATAAAGGGTCCCCGGAGCTACCTTATTTCCGAGCACCAACACCTACCGATTGTAAAGCTACCGATTGCAGTCAGACGAGTGTAAGCATACATTTCAGAGATGATGCACATGACAGAGCATGTGTTTTGGGAAACTTTTAGCAGCTGGCTGCTCTTTTGGCGAAAAGCCAGAAAGTACCTGCGTCCTACGTCTCTGGCTGCACAGAAGGGAAATTCAGCTTTGCTCCAAAATATTTTTGTAAGGTTTCGCTAAGGTATAACGCCAGGATCTCCAAACGAACTGGAGAGTCACTCCAGCCCTGATCATATTTACCTTTACAGCGACCTCTTATAAATTTACAGCCGTGAGTGGGAGGAGGAAAGGGTCCGTGGCAGCCACCGCCTGTGAACCTCCTTTCCCAGCAAGCAGTCGGCTCTGCAGAGCGGTGATAAAAAGTGGCTTCGCATCAGAACGTTTCCCAGCATTTGTGAAGCACTCCTGCCTCCTGGATGCTCTATTGGTGAACGTCAGACCCTGGGCAATTCCCCGCACGGTTTTTGGGAGCACACAGCCAGGGCGAAGTCCTGCTTTCCAGGCACGCGTAGCTATCTCCCAGCCTCTGTGCCGGGAGATTTAGCCCCCCTCTAAATTAAACCGCTGCTGGGGAGTGTGCCGAACTCCTCTGCCTTCTCCCCATAACGCTATGGCGGCCTGCGGGTTATCTGCCTCCCACCTATGTTCAGACAGATGCTGGCTACTGCTCCGCTTGTTAAACAGGCAAACCCGTCACCCCAGGTTGAAAAAGATCCACACATGGAACACCCCTTGCGGTAAGGACCAGCTCTGCCCCAGGGCCCAGGATGAGCAGCCCCGGAAACCTCACGCCTAGGTGCCGGGCTGCGGGTGCTGTGATCTATGATTTAAGCGCCTATAAAAGTCTGTGGGTGGCAATAGGCAGGGTGTTTACTTTTGGATATAACCTTGCCTTCCCTCGCTGACCTGCGTTTGAACCTGCCATTAGCGCTGCATCATAAGTTTTCAGAATTTACTCCGGCCTGGCGCGGATTCCTCTCAGGACCCCGACCGTAAATACAAGCGGGGCCTTTGAGGTGAACTGCAGGCCACGCGCGGATTTGAGAGGACAAGGGGAAGCGGCGGCTGTTAGTGATCCAGTGACATAATTATGTTTTTATCCCATAACCCCAAAGCTGGGATCCGACCGACTCAGCGCTGTGCAGCTGGGGTCCTGGGACCTCACTCCTACCCAGGGATACCCTGGAGGAGATGTTCAAAGCGCTCAGCCCCCGGCTCAGCCCGCCCCGCTAGTGCTGTCCAGGGTCTGCGCCACTTGCCCCCGGGGCTGCAGCCCGCTGTGTTAACGAGCAAGAGCCCGAACCCGGAACCAGGCGAAGTCCAATGAACCACGCACCGTATGCAACTGCTCGGCTCTTCAGCATTTAGCTGGGGCTCAGGTCTTTAAAATAAACAACCCACCGCTGAACTGCAAAGTGCAGGAGGAGAGATTAAAAAATAAGATCGGTTGTGGGTATGGTCGTTATCAAACCATGCCCAGAGGCAAAACATAAACACGGTATGTGCTTTCCCGTGTAACTGGGCATAAGGACAAAGTAAAGTGAGGCATTTCTATAATCTGCGTCAATACAGTCTTACTCCGTTTAATCAGTGATAAATAAAGGTAAAAGGGATGCCGTTAATTAGCTGGTCTTCCTCGAGCCTGACGAGTCGAACTGGCAGCTGTTTGCAATTCGGCCCCCATTCCATCCTTTAATGATTATTCAATGAGCTACAGAGCAGCGCCCTCAAGGAGCTGAGCTCCGAGGCCCCCTCTCCTGCGAGCCCTATTGTCCGGGTGAAATTAGCACCTTTTCAAAGTCAGCTCTGTGGCTCGTCTGTAGCTCCTGGAGGAGGGAGACCTGGAGAAGCCACCGTGCAAAACAAACAGTTAAAGATTTCGGGGGGAGGAGCCAGGCCACAATCCGTAATTAAAGATGAACTTTGGGTGAACTAATTTATCTGACCAAGGTAGAGTGGGCAGCAACCTGGGGAGGGCTATAAAAAGGGGCCCACGGCGGGGCTCGGCCTGTGCGCAGCTTTGCTCTGCGGAGACAGGTAGGGGCTTCAGGCGCCGCTCGCGAGCCATGGGCTTCTCCACCTTGCTGGCCAGCACGCTGTGCACCTTCCTGCTGCCCCTGCTGCTCTTCCTGGCTGCGGTGAAGCTGTGGGCTCTGTACTGCGTGAGCGGCCGGGAGCCCGGCTGCAGCCTGCCGCTGCCCCCGGGCACCATGGGGCTCCCTTTCTTCGGGGAGACGCTGCAACTGGTGCTGCAGGTAAGGCCCACGAGCTCTCCCTGCCCTCGCCCGGCTTCGGGAAGGGGCAGCCCCTCGGGGGATAGCCAGGGGCGACTCGGGGACCCGGCTCCGCCTTCTGCGCTGAGCTCCAGGTAGCCGGGGCGGGGCAGGGCAGCGCTAGCAGGGAGGCGGGCGGGCGGCTGGCCCGGAGCCCCGCTATCACGGCCCTTCTCTCCCTCCAGCGGCGGAAGTTTCTCCAGATGAAGCGTCGGAAATACGGATTTATCTACAAGACCCACCTCTTCGGGCGCCCCACCGTGCGGGTGATGGGGGCCGAGAACGTGCGGCACATCCTGCTCGGGGAGCATCGTCTGGTGTCGGTGCAGTGGCCGGCCTCGGTGCGCACCATCCTGGGGTCGGGCTGCCTCTCCAACCTGCACGACGGGCAGCACAAGCACCGCAAAAAGGTACCGCGAGCCACCCCAGGGCCAGGCGGCAGTTCCCCGGCTCGCATCTGGCCGGGGCCGCCTCCTGGGCGCTCTCAAAGCTCCCGGAGTGGCGCCCTCCTTTGTGCGGCTGGGGCGGGTGTGCGCTCCCCTGGCCAGCCGGGCTGAGCTCCGGCCCCGGCGCGCTCTCCCCCTGGGGCGGTGCCGCGGTGGCCTGAGCCTTCTCCTTCTCCCCCAGGTGATCATGAAGGCTTTCTCCCGGGAGGCCCTGCAGCACTACGTCCCTGGCCTCCAGGAGGAGGTGAGCGCCTGCCTGGCGCGCTGGCTGCGCAGCGGCGGCTCCTGCCTTCTGGTTTACCCCGAAGTGAAGCGCCTCATGTTCCGCATCGCCATGAGGATCCTGCTGGGCTTCGAGCCGCGTCACGCCGACCAGGACAGCGAGCGGCAGCTGGTGGAGGCCTTCGAGGAGATGATCCGCAACCTCTTCTCCCTGCCCATCGATGTGCCCTTCAGCGGGCTCTACCGGGTAAAGCTCCTGCCGGCGATCGGGGCTAGCCCTGGGGTGGGGAGGGTCCCAGGCACCTCCGGGGGGCGATGCCGCACGGGGCAGCTCTGGCTCAGGCGCTGGCACTAGGTGCCCGGCGATGGCAGCTGGAATTGGGGCAGGGTTGGGAGCGGGCGCCCAGGGGGTTGGCACTGCGAGGGGCGTGTGGGGACGGCCTGGCAGCGGGATGACCCGCAGCCCTTCGGCTCCCTTCTCCGCCCCCAGGGCCTGCGGGCGCGGAACTTCATCCACGCCAAGATCGAGGAGAACATCCGGGCGAAGATGGCCCGTACGCAGCCCGCGGGCGGCTGTAAGGACGCGCTGCAGCTGCTGATGGAGCACACGCAGGAGAACGGGGAGCCGCTGAACTTGCAGGTGAGACGCCCGCCTGCGGGGACCGCTGCATAGCCCCAGCCGGGGGCTTCCTTTAACCTCCCTGGCATCGCTCTTGTTGATGTAAGGGGAGCAGGATCGGGCCTTAAGTGTACACCCCCCGCAGTGCGGTCTCCGGGAGAAGGAAGATCAGGGTGGCAAGTCCTCGTCTCAGCCAGGGGAACCGCTTCAGGGCCAGGATTTCTGACGATGGCGACCCATGAGTGGTGTCCCCATTTCCCCCTCCCCCCTTTTCCCCCGAGTTGAGGAAGTTGCTCCAGTCCCCAGCCGCCTCGGATCCTGGGCTCCCAGGGCACATCCTGCTCGCACAGCGATCGAAATCCCCCTTGGTGCTTTTCGAAACCTCTCTT